TTCCTTCCGAGCCCCAAGCCCCAAGCCCCGCGGACCAGCATGACAGACCCCTCCGGAGCCCGAGGACGCGGCACAAACAGAGGCTCTGAATCCGAAGCCCCAGCTGACGCACCCCTCACGGCCCCTGGAGATTTATTTTTCCAACTGCAGGTAGCAAGGGGTGCGTTTGGGAAGCGCCTCCTTGAGTGTTGCAAGCTGTCCTGCAGGGGCCTTGGGGTTCAGGGTCGCACATGGGCTCCCTGCCAGGCCAGGGTGCCAGAAGAACCCCAGGCCCAGGGTGCGGAGCACCCCTCCTTCCTGCTTACAGTGAACTGGGCTGGTTTCTCAAAGAAATCCAAGATCTGGGTTTTTCAGCCAGTCAGTTCTGATTTTAAGCGCTGGCTTTTGGAAAGGGGGGGGGGGGGTTGGTGGTGTCAACAACCACAATAACCCATTTGCAAGTTGGTTCAAGACTGAGGGGGGGGGGATTGATGTGTGTTCTGGCTTCACAGATCAACATAACCTTCTAAATAAAAGCATCCGTGATCCTCAGGACTTCCCTTTCTTAGCTCCTATTTTGTTTCCTGAGGTTTGGGGTCACATTTTTCATTTTTTATTGTTTGGTTTGTTTCCTCTCTATATTTAATGATGCATCCTGCTCAGCATGTGCTGAATGAATGTATGTTGAGGGCACCATATATGAATCCAATGTCCCATGTTCATTCCAAGTAATGGCTGCCAGTGGAAAAGCCAGGCTTAGGCTACTGCATGAATCCTGGACTGCCATCCCATAGACTCACATGACATAAGCCCTGAAGTAGCTATGGCTCATACAACACACTTAGCTCCGAACTGCAAGAGGAAGGCACATAGGGTGGAAAAGGAGAACCAACCTCCTGTCCCTCCTGGTTCAGTCACTTTCATGAAATGATCCTTGACAAAAAGTCCAAAGATGCTGGGAGGGAAATCAGGCTTCTGTGAAAACTAGCCCAGGCTGGGCCGGGGATTTAACTCAGTGGTTTCGCCGCTTGCTGCACAAGCGCAAGGATCCGAGTTCGATCCCTGGTACCAAAAAATAAAAAAATAAAAATAAAAAAACTAGCCCAGGCTAAGAATATCCCTCAAACCACAAATCATTCCCTGGTAAGTCAAGAATGAAACAGATGTATCTGAAAGTCAGAAGACTATGGGCAGGAGGCCACTGGCAAGCAAGAGACAAAGAAAAAGGAGAATGGTATTTCAGAGAAGAAGAGAAAGCCCTCAAAGAGCCCCCAAATGCACATGCATCCAACATGGGTGTGGTTGTCCACATTTTTATTTTAATCCAGATGTTCCCTCAGTCAGAACTCACAGAGAAAGGCCTGAGCACAGAGTAAGAACAGGTTTGTTTCTCTACTCACCTGACAATCCTCCTGTGCCTCCCCAATAAGGCAAGAAAGACTTGGGCTGGACAATCATCTCAACAAAGTAAAAGGTGGGTGGGAGGGGCTTGAAATGTAAACCAGGCTTGGGTGAACTTCCAACAGGCACCTGAAAAGCTATGCTGCTGGGGTAGCTGCCAGTGAGAATCAAGGAGTGGCTAATAATGACAACAGGGCCTTTGTGGGACCTTTCACAAGAGGACCCGGTTAACTAGTACAGCCCTGGTAGCTTATGACCAGAAGGAAATCTGATTTCACTGTCCGGCAACACAGAGCACACCTTGCCGCAGCACAAACCTGAGAAGCAAGGAGGGTCAATTGAAGATGAGAAGGGGGCCTATCCCTTAATAGGAGATTAGGTAAGGCATACTGGTACAGAGTCAGCATGGGGTGTTAGGCCAGTGGAAGAGCTAGGGACAATGAGAATCCCTATTATTGGAACATGAAGAACTTACCTTGGACTTAGCAGAGAAAATTTTCAGGGAAGCTACACTAGACACCTCTTGTTTTGCTTGCTCAGAATCCATGCCCCAGACTTAAGGATGGCATCTCGAGCTTGTTTTGAGACCCTCCTTTCTCCACGTGTAATCAATGAGGTGCTAGTTACAGACTGACCAATTTCAACCTTCCCTGGTTCCTGGGTTCAAGTTCCAGCTCCAGCATTTCTCAGCTATGTAACTAACCCTGGGTTAGTCACAAAGTCTCAGTGATGGCATCTGATGGATGCTGTCATCCCTGCAGATTTGGTGGGGAGACACACTGTACAAGCACTCTGCACACCACAAGGTTCAGGTCTAAGTAAGGCCATGCTCTTCTTTTCTAACATATGAATCATCCCAAAAACAAAACCCAGGGGAGCTACCCGTCTGTGGAGCTCAGAGGAATCAAAGACTGACATAAGAGCACAAAGCCTGGGACTCCAAGTCACCTGGGACTCCATCAGAGCTGTCCGAACTGAGATCTGTATGCATGTTGGATGCCTGCTGCTTCACCCCATTAAGATAACCCCTGTGTTACTCAGGACAATGGGAAAGCCATCAAAATTAGAAAACTAAAAAAAAATAAATAAGTCATTGTTTCTTGCTTGTTTTAACCCAAAAGGCTTAAGGGTATCTTATGCAAAATATCACCCCGGATGTGCAGTTCCCCAAAACTTTATTTCTGGAGCTTTCACTCTGATGCACACAAGATTAGCACATAGATTCCAGTAAGTGGGGGGCTGGTACTAGGACTGGGTGCATGCCAATCATCACAGCCCCTGCTCACATAACCTCACTGTTTCAGGTACAGACAGTGCAAGACACAGCAAGGAGCCAAGGCACTATCAATAATGTTTACTTTGCAAAACATCTGTTGCTAAAAAAGCAAAATGCTGGCCAAAGCCAAGCAAAGTGACCACTACCCACATCCAGAGTGGAAAAGGATCTGCCTCTGAATGAGGCAACCAGGAGGGCAGGAATACGGAAGCAGAGAGGAGTCTGGGACTACAGAGACTGCTCCCAATACCACCTACTCATTCAGGGGCCAAAGGAAACTGCCTTCCCTTCCTGGAGATGTCATGCTCTGCCTCAGCAAACACTAATCCACAGAATCCACCTTAATTTTATACAAGTTTTACCCATAACATCACAAGCCAAGCCATCTCCTTTTTCTCCTTGGGTAAAAATCTAACACATCTGTGTATACACATATACATCCACATAATAAAGAACTCAACAAACCTTACAATTATATTTTTCAGTGGATCTATTCCCTATCTCTGACCTTCAAAATTACTCAAATTGCATATAACTACCCTTAAAAATTTTTGCTACTCAGTCACACCTTTCTTTATAGACTTAGAAAGTGATTGTAGCTAATAAAAACCAACTACTAAGGTCAAATTTGCAATAGGACTGGCTCCCAGCTACTTAAAAGCACAAGAAAATCAGTCTCTAGCCTTGCTAACCTTGCCCTTCTCTGAACATCAATTACATTTACTCTCTGTGTCTTGTCACCTTGGGTTTGAAATGATTCTAGAACTATTCATGAGCAGCTTTGTATCATAACACCCAGAGAGTGTCTAGGACAGGGCTGGCCAGTGACCTTCAAAACATGCTGCACCGACCTGACTGGGCAAAGCAACACAAGCTGGCTTACAAGATGCAGTGTATGAGTCACCAGAGAGGATCCAGGACTGAGAACGGAGAAATAAACACAAGTCCTGAGAAGACTACAGTTTACTCTGCATCCCCAATCCCAGGTAAAGCTGTATATACTCAAATCCAAACCCTCTCCCCAGCAACTCTCTTCTCCAAAGAGCCAGCCATGGGCAATGAAGGGCACCACCATCTGCCTTGCCACACAATTGGGCACCCGTGTGTCATTCCTGACAGGTCAGTCTGCTTCTCACACAATGCTCATTCCCAGGACTGTTCATTCTGCTTCCTAAGAATCACCCAATTCTGCCCACTCCT